CTTTTTGCGCCTAGCCTACCGAATTAAAAAGCATAGTATACTACTATCAACTATGCTCCTGTCGCATAACGTTTGGTGCATTTCAGTCTCTAATTTTCTCGTGCGGATCCGTCAGTTTCTATTTGGGGCAACGATAGGGTGTAGGACCACAAGTAACTTGAGCTAGCCTGTGGACCGTGTCATACGTTAAATGGTCGTAGAAGAGGTTTAGCGGGTTGGGCAAAACACAGGACGGAGAGCAAAAAGACACAAAAATGAATGACTTTCTGCCAAATGTCTTATCGTACGCTGTCATTTGGCAAAGAAAGCGAGCGCAACAATTAAAAATAAACAAGAAGCAATTTTCAAAAAATAACGGACGTTGAATAAAGCGCCTCGGTGAGTTTACATCTAATCAGGAAGGGAAGGGGATTTAAAACGATGGGAACGGTGAATAAAAAGTGATGTTTACAGTCACGCTGAATGTTATGGTATATTTTTGTAGTTGCCATCTACACGGCTTTGTGCAGAGTGAGGGTATTAAGTTCGTGGGAGCAGGAAAATCAGGATAATGGGTGCAAAAAAGGTTTCCTTTAAACAGATTCTGACTAGTGTATACTATATTGAAGTATATTAGAGTTGAATAGGCCAGTTTTCAACACATCCACATTAGACTACGTTGAGTAGTGCTAAGTTCGGTTTTTGCTGATCAACGCACAGTTTTCTTCCATTAAAATGTGTATCGGTATCGTCGGAAAAAAATGCGAGTCAGAGTCTATTCTGGTAAATTTGTTTTCACTAGTATTTTGGCGTGGATTGCATGGATCAGATCAGTGGAGTAGCTCGCCACCCACGTTCCCTTAATTTTCTGGATCTGTAGACCCATAGAAGCCACTAGGGGCATCACGATCATTGCCCTTACTGCCTCGAGCTCCTTTCCTCACATTTGCAAGTCTGAGGCAATCACAGAACGTTGGGAATTTCATTAAAACAACTCCTGATGAACCTGACTACTCTGAGGTTCTGTTTACTCGGTCCTTGTTGACTGTCGGACGATTCCCACGATTCCTCATGCGAGCCTATTGCGCCTTTCAAGGAACTTTTCAGATTGTTCCTGATTTGCGAGGTGGCGCATGTCTTAAAACCTTGCCCGAGATTCTGAAACGTGATACTGAGCATCGTGCAGTTTGATTCAAATCTATTGCGTCCATTTTAGTTTGCTTACTTTAAAAAGGGCAGCTTTCGGATTAAGAAGTTTGTAATTATGAAATGTTTTTGGGATAACGAAATTCCCTTTTGAATAACCATTGTGTCTCTCTGTTATTCAACGCTCTTTTTGAGGTATACAGTGGTTCATAAACGTTGTGGCATTTTGCAAATCATTTATGCTATTTCAATAATCCAAAGGCACGTTTCTTTAATGTAAACTGCAAAACTTGTAGTCGGGAAATCAGAAACGGAAATGCAACAGCGAGTTTATTTCAAAATTATTCTGAGATTGTAAACTTCTTTAAGGCTGGAATATAAACTTTCTTGAAGTAAACTTTTTATGGAAGATGTAATATACTACGAATGGAGCACAAAAGCGGATACCCTATGCATGTTTTACCTATTTTTTTACATTTACAGTCATCGAAAATAAATACTAAAAATTCACGCCATGCACAGTGTAATTTTCATTGACTGTCGGCAAGCTACGCATTCAAAAGCCGGTATCTTGGTGTTAATGAAACATCTTTAGCTTGCGCTGTGTGATGGTTAATGTTTATAGCCCACCTAGGTATTTTTTTCTAAGCAAATAACATTTAAGAAGTTCGGATGGTCTCATGAGGTGCACCATATACTGCATGTCGTTGTTAGGCGTTCTGCGAACGCGCTGTTGTGAACAGTGGTCGACGAATTCCAGCAACATAAATTGTTCTTTAGGGCGCAGTACCATTACTTAAACCAGAGAAAGCCCTTCGGATCTTCCAACTAGCTGCACCTTAACTGGAAGCAAACTTGCCAACGGATGACTCGGAAAGTGTGAAAGAATGCCAATATCTGTTTTTTACCACTTTACGAAAATCCCTAACCTGCAAACGTCCTCAAAGGTTTATTTAAATAAATAACGAATGTGATAAAAAATCGGACGAGTTTTATTGCCTCTGAGGGTTCAGTTTACCCAGTAAAGGGGCTGACCGGATGTGCGACGTTTCGGCCTTCTCAACCTGCGTGCCTCACCGCACTTGAACTGACCCGTTAGGAAATTGGCCTGACCTCCTGCACACGTGCTTTGGGTTTGCTTTCCCCACTCCACCGCCCTGAGACGCTGTCCTCAATTACTGCGTCGTTCGAGGGTTTGGCGACGTTCCGATTTCGGCCTCCCTCCCCCGTCGGCCTTCTGTGATTTCCGACCGCTGATTTTCAGTCGCACACACGCACAGTGTCCTTTCTTTGTGGATATTTTTTGCCTTTCGTCACCCTAATACACCCGTGGATTCCTCGTGACAGTGTTGGCCCCATGGGTTGAGCTGGTCACGAGAGAACTGCCCATGGAAGCTAGAGAGTAGGGGTTTGCATGTTAACTTTTAAGATTTTATCTAAACGACTACGAAATCCGGGCTCGTTTCAATTAGCGAGTCTACCCGCTCCGATTTAGGCTGAATGGTAAGTTTATTGCAGGCGTTCCTTCGGAGGGCTCCGATTTAACCAGACTGAAGGGCACGAACCCACAACTACGCACATGGCATGCTGACCCCTACCCGTTTCTTATAAAGAAAAGCTACCCCGAAATGTTATTGCTATTCTATTTTAGTTCTTGTGACGACTAATCTTTTTTGGACAATATTTATATAATACGGTAATCATTCAGGGCGTCCCTAAGAATTAAGGCTACTGCATATACGTCAAGTTAACATGCCCCGGGATTCAGGCAATTTTTAGGAGATAGCTAAATCGCAGACAGTAAAAGGGTTGAGTTCGGCGCAGTTTAATGCATTCCCGGCCGGATCGTCACGCAGAATACGATGGGTATGATTTTTGAGTCAGCACCCGGCGCTGGGGAGAGGAGGGGATGAAATATCAGCTCACCCTAAACAGACCCTGGGGCCAGATCATCTGTCTTATTTCCAGCGGTCGACCATTGCATCTCATCTGACAACGAATACCCTACCAAAGAGACTAGTCCCAGAAATCAGTTGGGAGAATAACGCGGTCGCTGGGACAAGGATTTTATTCATCTGACGTTTCAGACCGTCTCTGAAATCCATCAAGAGAGGCATCTGCAGATAAGGACTATAGAATCGTGCTTGGGCGGTGCACAGTACTTATAGAATGCAGCTGCCATTCAACTACATACCTGTCGTAATTGGCAGCTGTCAGCGATAGTATCAGCCTGGCAGCAATCAACATCGACTGTTAACTACACGAAGGTAGGTGGGCAAACAGCCATTACACCCAGTGCGATCATCTGCGATAAATACGGAAACTGATAATTATGATAGGCGTGTGGCTGCATAACAACCGCATTCTACAAATACTGTATCCTTTATCCACAACTGTCCTCGGTGGTGGGTCTACGTGCTGGCCCGAACCGTCAGACGAATATAGTTCTTGTTTCAGCAGTTGCATCTCTTTGCTTATTAAAAACTATAGAAGGTTTTCCGTAGTAGAAGTGATTGAGCACATAGCACTTAGTTGTTTATTTAGTGGATCAGCCTCAATCTTTTTAGGCGGTAGAGTAAAACATATGTTATTTACGTCTTCAATGTAATCTGTGAAAATAATAACATCTGGGACGTCTGTCTTCCTAATTTTATTTCGAATTGACATCTCAGTAGGGTAATAATCTTTCTGCGAAAATTTACTGCTTGTTGTTGGCGGTTGCAGATTCTGCTTATAGGTATCCGTCAAGTCTTTTGCAACAATGTGTCATAATTTTGACAGCAAATTGTGGGATACTTACGCATACATGATGGTTTCGGGGTTCTTTTCAGCTAAGTTCACCTGCATTTTGCGAGATGATGGGAAGAGAGCGTCCAGTTCGTTGCACTATTCCAAGCGCGCTTTACTTTGCTGAATCCTCTCTATGATCTGATCAAGTTTTTAAGCATCCTCCTAGTAGGCTCTGGGTTCTCTTCTATCAGCCTTCTATTTCCGCTTGGTATGTTTTTATATGTGGAAAGCCGCCTATGAAGGGGATTTTGGGAGGCATACTAAAACTGCTAATCCTGTTGCTGATTGGTTTATTTGAGGACAAGTGTTCTTGCTGGGTCTGCAGCCTTCAGCCAATCAGAGACTTCCCCTGCCAGCCGGCTGTTTTTATCGCACAATTCTGCTCGACGGATATTGTTTGAGTCAAGACGTTTGCGCTCGGCGCCTTGCTGCATCCTATCCGGCGCACTCGGAGTGTTTTTTTTTATCTTCGCAATGTTTTCGTTTTAACTAAACCCTCTTTGATTTGTGATTTTCAGTACATTTTTGCGTTGTTTTGTCGGGCAGAGGAAAAATACTGGAGGTCTGGACACTCTCAAAAAGAACTTTTTTGGACTGACCGCCATTACGATCATCGTTAACTCTAAGGGGAGAGGGGAGGGTGTACTCATGGCGTAAATCGGCGAATGCTTTAGTTGAGTTCTTCCAAAGTAGGTGATTCGCTTTAACAAACACGAGGAACGAAACAGGTCAAGTGTCAATTTGCCGCAGTTAAGTAGCTGCCCGATGACCTTGAGGTATACGGAGAATGGGAGGAGGGCGCTCACCTATCGTGCTACGGAGCTCACTCCTGTCGTTGTATCTTGGTGCTCTCTCTCGGGCCAACCGGCAGCCGTACAGCAGCAAGTACTGTAGGCAGAAAGGTATTCCCAATCGCAACCGGCAGGGCAACGCGCCGTAGCTCAGTGGTTAGGGACGTTGTTCTCCAAACCAACAAATCTGGCGTTCGAGCCCGAGGTGTTCTCGCCTGAGGGTTGGGCATGGCTGCTTAACGACGGCTAATAAGCCAGAACTGGCCATCCCAGTCTCCCTTGTTTTTGTCCGTGATGTTTTTCTACGTATACAGGGAACTTCGAGTGTCAATCGAGACCCGGTAAGTCTTGTTGTAGAAGTACCCTTGTGGGTGGTAGAGTGTTCCTGGATAGATCTTCGTTATCACAACCTAGAATTCTCCAGCAGCCAATGGCTTAGATTGCCGGATCGCAGGTTCTCTCTGCGGCCACCAGGAGATCATTCTGAGCGCATACACGGAAGTTTATCCGTCTTGCTCGACGGGTTCGGAGGCACCAGCGTCCCGCTTGTGGGATTGGTAGGGCATGCTTAAGGTGCCGTTTATTTGACTTAATTTAAGCTCCGTCTACTGAAAACCAGAAATATGCCGGCTCCTAATACTACCTCATCTGGACTTCTCAAACTATAAAGTCGTGATCCAGACGAATTGCTAGGGCAGCCACTTTGTGAAGGTGCCATTGCAGTGTGACTCTTGGTCATAAGGCTTTCAGCTAGATTGCTTTTGGGGCATCTCAGTAATCTAATCTTTCAGGTGTTAGGTTGTAGCTCGAGGTATTTGAGCAGTATGAAACTAATACTTATCCGTCCTCCACTCATCCCATCCATCCTGACACTCTGGTAAGACGGAGACGAAACTGCGGCCTCCACTCGTTATGCTCTATAGACAAAAAACGGTATTTTTGTCGAATTCTTGAAACATTTAACGATATCGTTGACTCCATGCTGTATTTGACATGACAATTTTTCGGCCAGTTTACTTGCAATTGGCAGAGTTCCGATTTTGCTTGATATAACTGGCCTCGATGATATCATCGGCTGTACCTCTCCAGACGTAACTATCGGCGCCACCGCATCTTGAGAGCTCGACCTACGGAAACTGAATATTGGAGGTCCTAGAACCGCCCTCTGTCCGTGACCGAACGAGGTTTTGAATTGACCTTCCCTTATCATTATCCTGAATCGGCCGCGTCGACGAATGAGATCCAGCAACGCTGAACTTCTGGGGCGTTTGAGGAAGAATGTGCGAAAACTGCCTCAGTCGTCCTCAATGGATGCTCCAACATGTCTTCCAGATGTTGTAGCGAGTCTAGGCCGTCTCATTGGAGACCAAGTCATAATAGTTTGCAGTCAGTGGTAATTAAACACCTGCTTTCCCCCCATCTCCCATGCGGTTAGGACGCACATAGAAGAACTGACCGGACGTATGTCCATTACGCGCAGATCATTGTGTCGATGGTGATGCCACACTGGGTCCATTGGCACTTTTAGTAACTCATTTCGGGACAGATAACTACTTAAGTAGTCTAATTTTCTCACATATAGTCGAATTTTCATTTCTTACAAAAATTTAAAAGAAAGTTAAACCCGCCTTCATCATTATGCTTGATGAAGGATAGCATTTCGGTTACATGTTCATATTTTTTCCTGAGGGTTTTCGATATTTCCCATAATATAAACAACATTCGCATTGACAGACGCGGCTGAAGAATTACACTGTTTATGGCCACCTTTCTGCAATTTCTCTTCAGACTAGCGGATTATTAAATTTCACCTGATTAATCTTCCCTAGCTGGAGTCATATTTAAATGTTGTCCTAAGGGTCACGTGATTGTCTGTGCATGCTGTGAGTCTGAGGCTCCGGCGCCACACATTACACCATACCAAGACAACAACCTCCACGTGTCCTCGGTGAGGAGTAATTTATGCGAATGGTCAGAGAACGCTGTTTTTTTTCCACGTGCCGCCGATAGAACATGACTGATAAACCTCTTCCCGCGTTGCCTCGACCGTTAGGCGATGATCGTCGTATGAACCGGCCGAGTTCCAAATTGCTTCTTCTTCCCCGCCCGGTTAAACTCATCTCCCCCTCTAAAAGTTGTGGAATTAACGAGTCCCGTCGGATGTATGATTACTTATGTATTCGTTCCTAGTCTGTAAGACCTCAGCGGAGGACTTTCTGTCAAAGTATACAGTGGCGGAATCTTTCTCACATCCTTCCGCAGTCTGCATCACCGAAAATGAAGGATTCCATGCTGGAATGTCCCGAGAGCCTTCAACGAGCTTTCCCACGTGTCCCACTTTTATCCTACCAGTCAACATGGGCCTCACAGCTAACGCGAATGCTGAGAAAGCAAGAGAATTTCCAAAACACACAGTACCTACTGGTGCCATTTTCATTTTACCTTTGTAGGCGTTAAGCCCACTGGGCTGCAACGATAGGGTGTAGGACCCCGACTAGCCATCTCACCTGTGGATCGTATCATTTGGTATATGGTGGCAGAGGGGATTTGCCGGGTGGGGCAACACGGTGGACGGAAAGCAAAACAAAACACAAGAAATCAGTTATTTTTTACCGAAAGCCTTATCATACTCTGTCATTTGAGAAAGAGATTAAAAAAATCAATTTTCAAGAAATAACGGACTTTTGATAAACCGCCGCTGGTAAGTTTACTACGTTTATTCAGGCAGGTTGGGACATTTCAACAAGTAGAAGCAATGAACAACAGGTGAGGATTACAGTCACCCTGAACTCCAGTGTAAATGTTGGAGTTGCCAGCTACGCGTGGTCCTAAACCTTACCGTTATCCACTAGCCTTTATTTAGTAGTATGTTTCCTAGCAGACTTCAACAATCCTGGAATAAAACGACATAGTCCGCTCACACGTGGGACAACAATCGTAACGAGGAGGGCATTTCCTGCACTTATTTAATCAGGTCTGTTTCGTAATGTGTAGCCTAACGTCTCCTGCTGGAGTATGCCTCAATCCGAAGCACTTGCTTCTTGTCGAGGAGGCCTGAGTGGTGGTCGCCTACGTGGTCCTCGCGACGGGCCGCGATGACTACCAGGATCATGTAACTCCATTGATGTTCTGGCAGATTTTGAATAATTCATATGAATTCTAAATACCTCATTGTAACAATTTAGAATGTAGCCAATGGGTTGCCTGGGTGACAGAAAGAAGACCCCCTTTCCTGTTGCTCAGCTTGACATCTGACTCGTAGTGGACGGTCGTTTTTATTGCATCAAATGTGGTTTGCTGCCAAACCGGAAATTATCCCGTCAGTCTTTCTAACGACCTGCAGTAATTTTGTCGTCCGCATTCGGGCAGTTTCTCTCTGTTGGTTACGGCGTTGAGTTCTTTACTCTCGGCTTCACTGAGTAGTCGGCTGCGATAGCCCATTACCGTGACTTTTTCTACATCTGTGCGTGACACAGGTAAGACAGCGACTTCTACGTCACCTCCTGCGCACAATCCAACGCACCGTCTTTTGACCGTTAAAATCAACGAGAGCCAAAATTGTCACACGCTGTGAACGCACATCAACCTGTTTGTGTTGAGTTAGATCTGGAGTGCATCTGTCTCACCGCCTCGTCTCTGGATGGCAAAAACGATCAAGAATACACGCGGGGTGGTTGCCGACAAAGTTAACCGGTTTGTGAGCGCATGTTGTACGCACCATCTAGTTCCTTACGGCACGTACAAGGCTTTATTCGGAGCATATTAGATCGCATTTTGGTGAGAATGCCGCGCGGGCCAGCTTAATATCTTATTGTAACACGACTCTTGGCGCGCCCTGGGGGCTTCAAAATGCACTCGGGTGGAAGCTGAATCGACTCCACCATCTCTTTCTGTGTCCACGTTCCATTGTTCTGACGATTGGAGGCGCCAGTAGGTGTACACCAGTGCGCAAGTAAGTCCACGCGTACGGTAGTTTTACGAATATATGTTCATACAAGTGGTGACCTCTCGGGAAACACGCATCGACCTACATGAACATCTTATAACTGATGCTGCTATCCTGGATTAGAAAAGAAATTCTGAATTTCAAATGTGTTTTCTCCCTAATTGATCGAGAGACAACCACCAAAGACTGTCAGTTTCAAAACGTGACTTTTATGGTGTCTTATTCCTCTCTTTTAGCCGTGACGGTGCCGATGCCTTGAGGCGGGAACTGGAGCTTGAGATGATGAGAATAGCGGAGCGCAACCTCGGACGCGACGACAGGTGCAGTTGCCCTCTTACAAACGAGTCTTAGTCTTGGAAATTAATTCGCCGCAACGCAAGTAAACTGTTTCTGGCGGATTACTCCGAGCTTAGTCCGATCACCATTCTTGAAGATGCCCGGCTCGCCTCTCGCTATTGCTATTCACTTACTGCCAAACACGCGTCAATGAGACTACGACCATCGTAGACAGCTCACTTGCTCCTACGAACTAACAGAGAAGTCCAGGGGGGACAGGCTTGTCTGATAGCCTTCCTGTGGGCTATTGGACGCGTCCACAGGTGACGGGTAGTTAGACGGTCAGACTCCCAAGTTTGATCATTGAGGAGTCGCGGACCGAGCAGTTGCAGTCAGTGGAATGCCGCTTGCCTGTACAGAAGTCGCGAGTTAAACTCAACTGCGCGTCTGCACTTGCTTTAGCCAGGCTCCCCTAGAGAGGGAAAAAGAGAGAGGGAGAGGGAGAGAGAGAGGGAGAGGGAGAGAGAGAGGGGGAGAAAGATCAGCATGTTGGTCAACGAAGGAGCGCCAGCCAGTCAAGCCTAACCCCCAGGCTGGGATAATATAGGGTTCGAGCCCCGATTGTTTTTTATCGAGCCTTATTTCCAGAGAACTAACGTTGATCCAGTCGCGCATACTAAGATCCAACGACTACCTGAACCAGACGAAGTCTGGAATGGTCGTAAGGGTCATGAAGAGGCAACCACCTGTTAGGCCAAACTTCGCCAAGTCACTGTGCAACGCCTTGTAATAAATGTAAACAGTTCGTGTGACCCATCAGAAGATAGGTCACGAACTTCGCGCTGAAACCCTTGCATCGCAGGAGCCGCTCATCCTGCATCTCCGGACGTTTTACTGCCTTAACGAAATGACCAATTTTCAAACGAAGGCATGGTTTTCTTTTATCAATTATTATTAATTAGCCGTCAAATTTTCTAATAGAAAGCCCTCATAAAGTCAATTTAAGACTTAACATAACTGACAGCAAAGAAGGAAGATATAGTACATCGAAAAATAACTAAAAGGAGTAACATACACAACATACTATTATCTTGTTGATTTTCCGTTTGCATTTAAAATAGCTTTACGTCAGAAGGACATACAGGCTGCCAAGTTGTCCATGGTGGTTTTCTCCATACTGTCATAAAGTGCAAAATCCTCTATTTACTGCGTTGGACAGTGTCTGTTTACCTCGTCTTAATTTCTTTTGATTATCTCAAAGAGATTTTTTTGTCGGATCCACATGAGAGCTGTTGACAGGAATGAATATGCTTTACAGGCCGAAGAAGGAAAGGCTGGCTGTGTTCTTGAAAAGTTGGATCACAGTCGTAGCCTTGATTGTGGTCACAACTCCCCTTGAATGGTTAACAGGGGTGTTATCCTGCAACATTAGAGTGTCCATTTGACGTCAGTGAATGCCGTTATAACCAAATGCATCGTTTAAGGTGTCGATGAACACCCCCGATCGAATGTATTGGCTATTAAAACCGCCAGACATCGACAGTTTTCGAAAGTTTGTCGCCGATGCAGAACGTTCTGGTTGGAATTTCTTCCTACACATGGCTACGTGGGCGTACTTCGGAGGCTTGTCTAAACACCAGACCTCATCACAATAGTGAGCGCATCTTCAGAATTAAAGTCTGTGATGAGAATTCTCTTGAGCAATCGACAAACCGTCTCAATAATAAGTTTGCTACATAAAACGGCCTTATCTTAGCGTTTTCTTGATAGAGGTCGGATTCTTTCATCCAGAGGAAACATTGACAAATATTGCCTATGAACCTCAAGAGACATGTAATGATTCCTTTTAGTGGACGGCAAATAAAATCGTCGTCATGTCTGTCTGCGGATCGTTCCGGACCACCTTGATTAATCTTGGGGAATTGGTCTATTATTATTAATTCTCCACAGACCGACCTGGCTAATGATAAAAAATATGAATTAACAGCTTGCACATCAACTCTTCCGCAACCGAGACAAAGCGCTCTGATATCTTCATCTCGCGGCATGACGTAGGAAAATGACAGCATGCCGCGGTTGCTAAATATGCGCTTGGTTATGCCTGGGCGCAGTAAAACAGCCCACTGCCAACCACTTTATGACACAAAAAGCCGGAAATTTGCAAACCAGCGGAAGACTGGTCGGACATCGAAGCAGTTTATTTGTTGTTCCGTGCTTTTCAACTTGCCCAACTTTAGAGTATTTGAAGCTTACACCGGTTCATATTCCTTGAAACCAATGTGATTTCGCATATCTGCCTTCACTTGATTTTGATGAAGGGATTTACTTAAAAGGTCTTTTTGTTTACATCAGTGTTCCTCTAAATCACAACGCATAAAAAACAAGAGACTCTGACATGTGACACTAAATAGCGTAGGAAATCACTCGGATGTCAGAAAACGTCGGATTTCACCCAACCTTGGCCAATTTCCATTCGATAACTTCGATTTGAAATGAACTGGTCCTTAACAAAGGGCTTTCTGGGCCTCCTATCGGCAGCGGTGGTGTGAGGAACCTCACTTTACTCCCGCTAGACTGTGGATCAGGTCACAGTCGTAGCCTTTATTGTGGTCACAACTCCCCTTGAATGGTTAACAGGCGTGTTATCCTGCAACATTTCAGTGTCCACTTGACGTCAGTGAATGCCGTTATAACCAAATGCATATTTTAAGGTGTCGATGAACACCCCCGATCGAATGTATTGGCTATTAAAACCGCCAGACATCGACAGTTTTCGAAAGTTTGTCGCCGATGCAGAACGTTCTGGTTGGAATTTCTTCCTACACATGGCTACGTGGGCGGACTTCGGAGGCTTGTCTAAACACCAGACCTCATCACAATAGTGAGCGCATCTTCAGAATTAAAGTCTGTGATGAGAATTCTCTTGAGCAATCGACAAACCGTCTCAATAATAAGTTTGCTACATAAAACGGCCTTATCTTAGCGTTTTCTTGATAGAGGTCGGATTCTTTCATCCAGAGGGACATGTAATAGTTCCTTTTAGTGGACGGCAAATAAAAGCGTCGTCATGTCTGTCTGCGGATCGTTCCGGACCACCTTGATTAATCTTGGGGAATTGGTCTATTATTATTAATTCTCCACAGACCGACCTGGCTAATGATAAAAAATATGAATTAACAGCTTGCACATCAACTCTTCCGCAACCGAGACAAAGCGCTCTGATATCTTCATCTCGCGGCATGACGCAGAAAAATGATGACAGCATGCCGCGGGTTCTCAATATACGCTTTGTTATGCCTGGGCGCAGTAAAACAGCCCACTGCCAACCACTTTATGACACAAAAAGCCGGAAATTTGCAAACCAGCGGAAGACTGGTCGGACATCGAAGCAGTTTATTTGTTGTTCCGTGCTTTTCAACTTGCCCAACTTTAGAGTATTTGAGGCATAGTCTGGTCCATATTCCTTGAAAACAATGTAATTTCGCACATCTGCCTTCACCTGACTTTGATGGAGGAATTTACTTAAAATGTCTTTTTGTTAACATCAGTGTTCCTCTAACTCACAAAGCAGGAAAAGCAAGAGACTCTGACATGTGACACTAGATAGCGTAGGAAATCACTCGGATGTCAGGAAACGCCGGATTTCCCCCAACCTTGGCCAATTTACAGCCCATAACACCTACGTGAAATTAACTGTTCCTTAGCAGAGAGCTTTCTGGGCCTCCTATCGGCAGCGGTGGTGGATAAGGTCATACGTGGATGGCGGTAATGCGAGTTTTAATAGTGTGTTAGCACGCCGGACAGTAAGCTGACGAAATGCAAGGAAACGCAGACATTGTTTTTATTTCTGCCACAAGTCTTGTCGTACGATTTCTTGTGTCAACGGAAATGGGCGCGTTGGTCAAAAAATACGCAAAAAGAAAATTTAAAAAATAACGGATTCTGAGCTTGAGGTCATAGTAGTTAGTTGTTTCTGTACGGTGTGACGCCTGCGTCGGCCCGTAACTCGGCGCCAAGGTAAAAGCACACATGACGCGATCAACTGTCTACCGACAGCTAAGTGCGATCCTTCGCCCCACCACTGTCCTCCAGATCTATTCAATAAACAAAATGCATGCATACTACCCACTCACACACCGATCAGGAAATTCCGTAATATAGGTCATCTACTGTACAAAAGAAATTTCAACATACAGTAGGTGGGCTAACGCATGAAATGTCAACCTAAATTCCGAAAGATTTATTAAGCCGTGTTGTAAAACTTATCAATTTATGGCATAATTCTTTAATATTACAGCCACCGCGGGGTGCCGGCTTCCGAACGCACATCTTTTTGGCTGCATGCGAAAAGTATACTCATTAAAGATGACTGCTCAAGTAGCATGCATTTTCTCATTGATTTGTGATACCCTTAAAACTTCAATTTAATTTTATGGCAAATATGCATGCCGATATGCATTCTTTTGCTCATTCGATAGAAAACTACGTTTTCTTCCAATTTTATGCTCAAAGGAAGGGTATTATTTGGTTTTCAGAAACCTTTCCAATTCTCGAATAATTTCGAACCCGACCTGCTGTTACACTTGCATTCAGGGTTTCCAAACTACAAGCCTACGGAAAACTGTACAGTTCTCTGTGGTATTAAGAGGAGACTATATGGGGCTCGAAAATATTAGTCAGTGGATTTGAGACATATTGTTAACTTTACAAGCCACATTGTTAAATGCAAAGACATGGCGTTTTATGAACAGTCATTTCACGTTATTGAAAAATCTCACAATTAGAAGCTTTTTAAAACTTAATTATATCCCTCCTTCGAGTATTTCCTACCGAATTAGCAAAAGAATGGATGTCGGTATGCATGTTTGCCAGGAAATATAATTGAATTTTAAGGACATCGAAAATCCCTGAGAAAATGCATGCTGCTTAAGTAGTCATTTTTACAGAGTATAGTTTTTGCATGCAGCCGGAAAGCAGTTCTTTCGAAAGCGCACATCCTGTGGTAACTGAATTATTATTGAATTATGCTGCACAATGATATGTTTTACAGCCCCACTTAGTTAATCTTTTCGAAACGAAAATACATTTCATAATTTTGGTTAACATTTCACGAGTTATTCCGACTAGTAAGGAAGATAAGGATGGCTATTCTTTTATTTGCCAGTCTTCATCAGCTAGTTATGCCCAATCCCAAGTTTGGATAATCGGATCGTCGCAATGTCCTTTGTTCTTATCCGTGCTTTTTCTTTATTGTTAGTGATTTTTTTGTTCTGACGGCCTGTAGCGTTCGCATTGTGCATATGACGACGCCGGGACGTTGGCATGACAGCACCCCGCTCTAAATACTGAGTAATGCCAGTTAACTTTAGTTCGCACTGTGGCTGCTGTTCGATCGACGGCAATTCAAACGTTTTGGGCTGAATGAGCGAAACTGTACGGTGTCCTCTAACTCACCGCAGTTGCAAGCTTCAGGTCTGCCTAGTTTAAGATTCTGTTGGCTCTCCTCATAATCCTAGATGTTAGTCACTGTCTGGTAGCAGTTTACTTGGTTTTTTGCCAGGGTGTCTCTTGACGACTAAACCTCACAGCGCTGTAAACACATCTTCGCGGTTACATAACCTTCGTACTCAGCTTGAATGCGTTCTCCCTACAGTGGGCGACTGATCTCATGGAATGTTGGCTGAAATTCTGAAAATCGTTTCAGATAAGAAAGGATTACTTAGACACGGTTGTAATACTTGTGGTATACTTGTGGTTGTAATACCTTGTGGCATAATCCTATAACATTTCGAACTCAGCAGGATGTCAGGATCTGAATCCATTGCTTTCCAATTTCCTGCAGAAACCGTATTTGGTCAAAAAACGACTACTTAAATAGCATGCATTTTTCACATTAGCTTTCGATGGTCTTGTAAATTTGAATATATTGTACAAAAACTACGAACAAAATATGCATTCTTTCAGTCGTTTGATAGAGAATCGCGTCATCTGTTATGTTTTATGCTTGAAAAATGAGTATAATTAGGTTTTAGAAAAGTTTTCTATTTTCTGAATAATCTGGAGCATGATCAGTCGTTGCATTAGCGCTTAATGATTTGAGTCTCCTAGGTACATGCGTTCCTCTTAAAGAAAATCACATATTATTCTATGTCTTTAAAAAGATACCATCCAGAGTCCATAATTCTTGCAATGGATGCGGACCATATCGTATATTTCATGAGGAGCAATGGTGAAAGGACAGGTCCGATTCTCTATGAATGGACATTTTACGGTCTTAAAAAATCCATAATTAGAAATGTTTTTAAAAACCTAGTTATATTCTTTTTTCGAGCATAAAATATAAATAATTCTCTGTCAAACGACTGAAATAAAGCATATTTTTGTTCGTAGTTTTTATAAAACATAATTGTATTTACAAGATCACGGAAAACCAATGTGAAAAATGCTTGCTATTTAATTAGTCGTTTTCTTTTACCAAATACGGTTTCTGCAGAAAATTCAAAAGCAATGTATTCAAAAGCTGACATCCTGCCGAGTTCGAAACATTATAGGATTATGCCGCAAGGTAATCAGTATTACAACCGCGTCTAAGTTATCCTTCCTAATCGTAAACGAATTTCAGAATTCCAGCCAACATTTCGTGAAATCGGTCACTCACCGTACATTTGACGATTCGGACCATTTAATTGGACAGTGTCGCAAATTAGACCTACCGCGTCATTGTCCCATCAGCGTACGGGGGGCCAACAAGTTAGGCTGTTACCTTTACACGCATCCTCTGCGTGTTCAAAAAACGGTCATGTGATTGCACACACTCTTCTTTCGGTTGAAGCATTTGGAGAAGATGTAGGGTGTGTAGCCCTCCGGGTGGTTGGCGTGCTTCATAACGGTTTGCCTCGTAGTAGGTGGCGAAATGGGTTGTGCAGGAAGCATACAGTAGGTGGGCTAACTCATGAAATGTCAACCAAAATTCCAAAATGCGTTTTCGTTTCGAATATATTAATTAAGTAGGGTTGTAAAACTGGTCATCCTGCAACATAATTCTATAATATTTCAGTTATCTCAGGATGCCGGCTTTCGGATGAACTTCCTCCCGGCTGCATGCAAAAACTACACTCTGTAAAAAACGACTACTTAATTAGCATAAATTTTTCTCATTGATTTGCAATGCCCTCAAAGATTAAATTATATTTCATAGAAAACATGCACAAAAATATTCATTCTTTTGCTCATTCGGCAGAACATTACGTCTTCTAATTTTATGCCCAAAGGAGGGACATGATTCGGTTTCAGAAAACTTCTAATTCCTGAATAACTTTGAACCCGCTCTACCGTTACACTTGCGTTCAGGGTTCCCAAACTACAAGCCGCGTATTTCCTGCGTAAAAGAGCCACACATTTCTCTATAGTAATAAAAGTGGACTATATAGGGTTCATCAAATTTAGCAGTGGATTTGATCCATATTGCTAACTTTACAAGTCACCTCGTTAAATGCAGAGACGTGACGATTTATGAACGGCCATTTCTTGGTATTTAAAGGTCCCACAATTAGAAACTTTTTTAAAACACATTAATGTCCCTCCTTCGAGTATAAATTAGAAGAAGGCGTAAATATCTACCGATTGAGCTAAAGAATGAATATGTTTATGAATGTTTTCAATGAAATATAATTAGACATTTAGGGGCATCAGAAATCAATAAGAAAAATGCATTCTACGTAAGTAGTCATTTTGTACAGAGTGTGGATTTTGTATGCAGCCGGAAAAACGTTCATTTTAAAGCAGGCATCCGGAGGTAACTGAATTATTATAGAAGTATGGTGCAGGATGATTGGTTTTACAACCATACTTAATCAATCTTTTCGAAAAGAAAACGTTTTTCGAAATTTCGGCTGACATTTCATGAGTTTGACCTCTAATAGCGTCATCGATATTAAACTTACCCGTTTTGGGCTCAAGCTTAAATTTTGGGCAACGGTTAATTGGGTTATTCCTGGGAATAGTGGTTCCAGGCTTGGCTATAAATCGAAGTCGGGATAGAGGCTAGGCTTAATCTTTTAGGGTTTAGCTTATGGCTGCGGTTACGTCGGACTTCTTCATGAATGCATACAGGTTAGACATGTGTTGCTGAAGGTGTAACCATGGTTTGCGTTAGATTTGTAGCTAACGGTGGTCTCCCCCTCCTCCCCCCAAAGTGGGTTACATACCATACCCTTTCCGTTTTGGACCTGCATTCCAGTAAAATGTACGTGTGAAATAATGTTCCTTTTCTGCGTCCTTCCCTGCGGGCTACTTAACTGACGGTTTTCTTCAGAGAAGTATTCATACTGGTGAGGGAATAGATGCGCATCCAAAGTCCAGCATTTCGCCGTATCTGATTTAGCTTGAGGTGATATTAAATTCTAATTAGTCTTTAAACTTAAGAAAAAAATATGGATTCACCGGAACAGGTTTGATTGAGTGCTGAGATTTCAGAGGGCTTTGTCGGCTCACGATTGTCAAAGCGTATAATCAGATAGAAATAGAAGTGGCATGCCGCGCCAGTCGGTCTCTTCTGATCTACGTTTTTTCTCGGGTGTTTGCCGGAATTTTTAACTGCGTGCGTTGTGAGTCGCTAACCGGTTGGGAGGGCGGCTGGGTGAGCCTCTGTCGGGATTGATCTATCTGCCGGTTCTTTTTCCTTCTCTTCATCGAGTGATTGAGTCGTCGGACTGTTTCTACTGCGGCCTTCTTAAGTTCAGTGTGGTCGTCTAGTTCTGAGCTTTGTGAGCTGCAGGAAGGTCCAGTCGTCCATTAACCGGAGTGCCACACCGGTCAACCCTTGAATTGCTTCTGTCCAGGAAGATCGAAAGTATGCCCAGTTTATCCAACATGACAAGGACGATACCTTTGAGCAAAATGATGACTGTATGCAGATACGGTATCCAGTTGGCTCTGTCGTGGCCTCCCACCTTGAAAGGGCACCTGGCCCTTAAACAACGGAACCGATCCCTTGGCAGGCATTTCTATTATCCCTCAAGTCATGCCCAGTTGATCTCCGTTCCTTGTTCCTCCGCCCTTGAGTACGACTGTCAGTCATCAGTACTTGACTAGAATCCGCAATTACACACATCAGCACATGATTCGCAGCCTACCGATCGCTGGTTTAGGTCTTTCACCCTGCCGTTGGCCATCAAGCTTTAAAAACGCCAGTCCGCTAGTACACTTCATGTTTAAGGGTTCCGAACCACAAGCCATTCTTTATATACTAAAAGGAAATTCTACGTTTACTTACACTGTTGAGAAGGCACTATAGAACGCTCACAAATTTGCATAATAGATCTGGACAAGGCCGTGTACTTCAGAAGGGACGCTTAAAAAGGGGCTGATACGATAGCTCTTGCTTAAACACTTCGCTGTCTTAAAATATCTCCGAATAACCGTTTTGGGACCCGAAAGAATCCCTTTCTTCGAGTTGAGAATCCGATTATGCAACCATTTACAAAAGGGGTCTAAGGACGGATGCTTTTATTTACGTCTTCATCGAAAATCAATAGAATAACTTCGTGCAAATTGAGTAACCAAAACGTCACAAGGACGCTCATTCGGGAGATTATGCTGCTTTGTGCGCAATATTATTCACCCGCCTAAGCAATCTTTTTCTGACTGACATGGCGCTTCAGAATTTCGGTTGAAATTACTCTGGTTACGTCACCTGCAACGTGCGAATGCCCACGCAACTGTTCGTTGTGAGCGTTTTTGTACCTCGATAACTTAATTTCTCCTCTAATTAAGTAAGTTTCTTAAAGTGGAACATATTTCGCGGAAGATTTTTGCGAATGCAACTGCTTCGAAGACCGTAAGCCGGAATTAGGCAATCCCTGAAACCTCTTCGGACGATCGGCTGTCGGGATCGTCGCCGTAATGTGTTCATTTTCTTAGAAGAAGAGGAAGAATAACAGTGAACAGCACGTCTGTAAATCAAACGAAAACAGTGACTGAGGCGGTGAATTCACCCCTCTGAGCCACTAAAAAGGCTCCAAGTCTAGTGTCCTGTAGTGTCAGGTTCAACAGCGATCCGCATTCCCTACGAATGGCAGAAATGTCCGGATGTCCTTTTCGGTCTTCGTTAAACTGGCGATGTGACGGGAAGCCTAGGTTGGCACAAGTTTGCCCAGATCCTCGCTGGCGAAGCCCGTAGGGTAAGGATAAATGCTTATTATGTTCATGACAAGGACATAGCACAGCGGAGACCAGCTTGGCTGTTTCTGGCTTCGTTGTCGTCATTAGGCAGTCTTACTCGTATCCCATGGACGTTCCAAGTGGGACCAATCAGACAGACTTTCTATCAATCGAGCTAGGGATTCGGGCTCTGAAGGCTTCAATTCTTGAATTGCGATCTCGCGTAAGAACGGTGGTCGCGAGTTTTCCCTGGTTGTGGGGCGTAATGCGGTCGATTAGTCTTACGCTGAGGTCGCCCGCCTACAACCCCTACGTGGTGGCAATTGGTGGAAATTATCGACAAAGACATGGTGTGCCCGAACTACCAGCTGAGCCTCTCTTCAAAGCGTCTCCGTCCCCGTCTGATATCATCACCATCGGACGACAACGGCGAATTTATTGTTCGCCGGCAGTGCATATCGATCGCTGGTAGTTCGTCGCCCTGTTCAATTACTTCTGAACCGACCAATCATATTTCGTTCAGCAATCGGGATACTTTTGTAAATGTCACTTTTATTCGGTTATGTAGTAGGTTTGCAATTTTAGTCAAAAAATACAATTCAAAGTGATGGACTTGTTTATGATGAACAGAATTAAAGTAATCTACAAGGGATCCGGACATTATGTCATGGCGGGCTACGGGCGCAATTGGCAATTATCCGGTGTTAGATTACATCTGTGCACCGAAGTAATTACTTTTGGGTCACGACAAATGTAGAATTACCCCTTAATTCGATTGGCATTGTTTGCTCTGTCTGGCAGAAGCTGCTGTAGTTACTTCTGACTGGTTTGCGTCGCCCTCTAGCCTACATCGCGGGTTTCTTTGGGGCTTGCGCAGTGGTCTCTCTGTGAGCCTCTAGTTGTTTAGCATCCTCACCTCCACCTTTTCTCGGTGTCGCCAGAAACTGCTTTAACAGGCCCCGGAATCTTCCGTCTGACTTAGCCGCTTTCCCTGCCTGTCTCGTGAAGCGATTTTGTCAGGAGCGTAGTCCTGCTCTGACTCTGGGGAATGCGACCGGTGATCCTAATTCACCGTCTTATGTTCGCTGCGTGTGTTCCTTAGGATTGCCGTTTTTGACAGAGAAATTGCTCACATCTTCGGCGGGATTTTTCTTTAAATGGCAGTTTTATGTGCATAACCGTTTTTCTTCCGTTCTGCTTGAAATTGTGTCTGACTGAGATTCATTGCTTCCGGTTGAACAAGCTCCCCCTTCCTGTGCTTCCATGGCGGTAAAGCAAACTGCCTTTCTGGTTTATAAATGCAACTACAGTACTCGGATTTATTGCATCGGTTTGACCGAGCGTTCCTCCAAAATCAGCTTCTTTTGATCGGGTTTTTGGGTGCTGTTCAATAGATGTACTTACTCATGAAATGTTAGTCGAAATTCTGATATACGTTTTTAAATTGAGAAGAATACCTGGATAGGGTTGTTATATTAATTTCCATGCAGTATAATCTCAAAATATTTTCGTAATTTCAGAACGCCAGCTCTTGAGCGAACTCCTTTCCAGCCGCCTGCAAAAACTGCGCTCTGTTTAAAATGGCTACTTAAGTAGTGGGAATTTTCTTGTTGATTTTCGATGATCTTATATTACTCAAGTATATTTCATAAAAATCACGCATGAAAATATTTATTCCTTCTCTCATTCAGTGAAAAATTACGTCTTCTTCAACATTTATACTTGAAGGATGGGTATGACTCGGTTTTAAAAAATTCTAATTATGAGATTTCTTTAGACCGTAAAATGCTAAATTTTACGAAGCTCATTTGGTCCTTTCTTAATGGCGTATAGAAATGTATGATTTTTCGTACACGAGAAACGCGCAGCTTGTAGCTTGCAGGCCCTGAAAGCAGGCTTAACGGCACATTAGTTTCAAAATTACTTGGGAATGAGAAAAGTTCTTTTAAACCGCATCATATCCTTCCTTCAAGTATAAAACCGTAGAAGACGTATTTTTTCTCTAAATGTATGTTTTTGATGAAATATATTTGGATTTATAAAGGTATCTAAAAAAATAAGAAGATTCACGCTACGTGAATAGCCATTTTTTACAGAGCCTAGTTTTCGCAGGCTGAGGGAAAGGCGTTCGTTCAAAAGTTGACATCCTGAAGTAGCTGAATTATCTTGAGGGTATGCTGCGCGGTAATTAATATTACAGCCCTACCTATATAATATTTTCGAGTCGAACACGTCCTTCACAATTTCGGTTATTATTTCATAAGTTAGCACATCTACTGTAATTCTGTCAGTGTTGTGATCCTTGTTGACTCTATGCCCTGTTCGCTGAGCAAAGTAGCGAATTAAAGTCAGTTTTATTAGACGTAATCCCAATTATGTTGTGTGCATCCTGAGAGTCAGATCGCAGTGGGCTACGTCGACTGTTGTTTGTAGGCCTCCTCAGTTCGCACCTGCAAGCATTGGCTAGGAGTGAATCTAGGCCTGATCACTCGGCTATCTCATCTACTGCTGAGTTGAGAAGATTACATTTGATGTATGCATCTATAATTCACTGTGTGGCACGTTCATTTCAAGGCTCTCCTCTGCCCTCGAAGACGCAAAATTTTGATCCCTCTTTCAGACAGGTGTATGCGGTTTGCTTAAGATTCTCGAGAGTGACACCACAGCGCGACGCGGTTTTGGTATTTCGGCCTTACATGGGGCAAAATTTCAGTTGATCCACCGTCAACCGGCTCCTCATGGCGGATTCGACCGTCGCAGGCTACGATGCCCACTGCGTGCTCCACGCGATTGGTGCAACACCAGTAATGTGCGCTTGAATTGCGGTAGGTGTGGTAAATCATGTAAGGCGTTGTTGTTTTGGAAAGATTACACAAGAACAATCCAGCAGAATGATTCAATAGTGATTCAGTAACCTCCCAATGCCGGCTTTCGAACGAACTGCAAAAATCACATTCTGTTAAAAACTGATAGTTAAAGAGTATGAATTTATCTCATTGATTTTCGATGCCCTTAAAAATTTAATTATATTTCATGTAAAAATGCATAAAAATATCCATTCTGCCGCTCATTCGGTAGAAAATCACGTCTTTTTCAAATTTATGACTAGATTTTAAAAAAAGTTTCTAATTGGGAGATTTTTAACACCACGGAATCGCCGTTCATAAAACATCATGTCTCTGCATTAACCAATGGGGTTGTAAAGTTAACTATATGGCTCAAATCCACTGCTAAATTTTATTAATCTCATATGGTCTTCTCCTAATACTGCAGAGAAATGTACGGTTTTCCCTTACTCGGAAAATATACGATTTATAGTTTAGGAACCCTGAATGCAATGGTAACTGCAGGTCGGATTCAAGATTATTTGGAAATTTGAAAAGTTTATTTAAAACCGAATTCTACCCTTTTCAAGCATAACGTGTTAAGGGGACGTAATGTTCTACCGAATGGGTAAAAGGATGAATACTTTGTGCATGTTTTCGATGGAGTATGGTTGAATTTTAAGGGACGTCGAAAATCAGTGTGAAAATGTATGCTAGTTATGCAGTCATTTTTTACAGAGTATAGTTTTAACATTCAGCCGACAAGAAGTTCGTTCGAAAACCGGCATCCTGAGGTATCTGAATTATTATGGAATACCACTGCACGACGATTAGTTTTACAACCCTACTTGAGTGATCTTTTCGACACAAAAATGAATTTTGGAATTTTGGTTGGCATTGCATGAGTTAGCCCACCTACGACGAGTTTCCTTGAAAAGAAATTGAACTGATGACGCCAACCCAACGTGAGGCCAGATGAAAGCGAGAGAAAAGGTGAGATTGTCACATTAGACTAGTTGGTGCGACAAGCGAGACAGTAATAGACCCACCTTTTGCATGCGATAGGGGTGGGCACAGAGTCACAAGAGGTTTCGTAACGGGAGGCCTGATAAGGAGCTGGAGGTGGAGGGGGATAGTTGGTCGATTCGACCATTTCAGGGCTCTCATCTGCACTCGAAGACGCAGCATTTTGACAGGCAGGTGTCTGTGGTTTGCTTAAGATTCTCGAGGGTAACACCACAGTGCGACGTGGTTTTGCTACCGTCAACCGTTCCCTAATGGGGGTTCGACCGTCGCAGACGACGATGCCTACTTTGCGTTCCACAGGGTGGGTGTTACACTAGTGATGTGCGCTTGAATTACGTTAGGTGTGGTAACTCATGTAAGACGTTTTTGTTTCTGAAAGATAACACAAATAGGATTGCAAAATGTACCATCCGGAAGAATGATTCTATAAGAATTTTAGTTACCTCGGATTGCCAGCTTTCGAATGAACTCCTTCCCGACCGCATGCGAAAAGCACACTTTGTAAAAAATGATTGTTAAGGAGCATGAATTTCTCTCATTGGTTTTTGATGCCCATAAAAATTCAATTATATTTCATGGTCAACATGCATCAGGTTATTCATTCTTCTGCTTATTCGGTTGAAAATTACGTCTTCTTCAAATTTTATGCTCAAAGGAGGAGCACGATTCGCTTATACACCGTGCCTAATTGTGAGATTTTTAAGACCATGAAATACGCGTCCCTAAAGCTTGGTGTTTCTGCATTTACTAACGTTGTTTGTAAAGTTTACAATATGGATCAAATCCATTTGCAAATTTTATGAATCCCATGTTGTATCCTTGTACTGCCATAGAGTAATGTATGGCTTTCCGTACGCGGACATTAATCGGCTTGTAGTTTGGGAACCCTGATGCACATGCAACAGAAGGTCGTGTTCAAAATCATTTAGGAATTAGATAAGTCTTTCAGAACCGAATCATACCCTTCCTTCTAGTATAGAATTTTAAGAAGTTGTAATTACAGTACCTGTGCTAACTCATGAAATGTCACGAATTAACACAGGTTAACGACTTTAACGCAGGTTAACACTACGGCTCCCAAAGTCTGATAGCGGAAAATAAACGATGTGTCAAAGAAATAAAGCAAAGTTTGGTTAAGAAAATATTATTTACTGAGATAAAAATAAATAATTTTCGACGAAAGTCACATTTTCGAGAAACGCCTATATTACAAACAAGTTAATAAATGCCACGTATGAGGACGTATAAAGGAGGAGGGCGGATAAAAGGTGAAAAATAATTAAGGACAGATACAAATACAAAAAAATTAGTACTTAGTCTGTCCGACATAGACATGACGAGGTTATCTATGGTGGATTGTAAAATGTAATTATTGAGTATGAAATCCAATTTTTCCTGCATTGAAAGAGTCTTCTTAGCTTAGTGCCAATTTCTTTTGACTATTCCAAAAATATTTTCGATAGGATTCAAATCGGGACTGTTGGCCGGTATGAAAATGGTTTGGAGGCCAATTGCGGAGAGCGTGGTTGTTGTCTAAAATGTTAGATTATATTTGCAAGCGGCATTAAATTAGTACCTCTTTAGAGCGGTGGACAGGTGCATTGTCCTGCAAAATTACAGTATCCATTCGGCGCCGACTTATGCCGTTGTAGCCGAAAGCATCCTTGACAATTGCAATGAACACCTTGCTGTTGATGGTGTCGGATGTTGATCGCCAGACAGGCCGCTCACCGAATTTAATCGCCATCCAAACCATCATTCGCCGACAGTTCTTGAATGTTGCCGTCGGTGTAGTGTGTTCTCTTGGGAAGTTCTTTCCACATATGACGGTTTGGAGCGATTTCGTAGGCTTGTCTAAAAATAGAACCTCATCGCAGAAGAAAATGCTCTTCCAAAATGAAGATCTGTAATCAATAGAATCCTTAGCAAATAAAAGCCGTTGTCTAATTAGTTTTCTACTTAAATATGGCTTAATCATTGCCTTCCGCCGCTGCAGTTTAAATTCCTTCATCCTTTTTCTAATGATGTTCATAGAAAACATCGGCAAATGTTCCCGCTGAATGGCCTCAATGGGCATGTTATGAATATTTATTAATGTACGACGAATAAAATCGTCGTCTTGCTTACTTGTGGACCGTTTGGGTCCCCCTATCTTATTTCTAGGAACAATTTTATCATTAATAATGCGCCACAGAGTGACCTCGCTAATATTGAAAAGACTAGCTAACGGCTCACGCGGGATTCTCTCTGCCGCTAATTTTCGAATGCGCTGGAAGTCAACTTCGGATAAGTATTGTTTAGACATAGTTATCGTTTGGCGTGGCAGAGCAAAGTGACGGCATGTCGCGCGAACTCAATATATATTCGTTAACGACACGCATTTTCAGTCTGGTAAAACAATCACACTGATAAACTTTTTTAATTCGGTATTTTGAAACATAAAACTTAACGAATTTGTAAAATGGAATTTTTAGATAAAGAATCGCACGTTATTTCCTGAACACAATAAGAAATAATTTATCTGCATTTCCCTGATTTAGTTGATATTGAAATTTAATTTTTTCTTTTTGTTCGAAAGTTTATCAAAAAATTTCGTCCTTTTATTAATCTTCTTAAACAGATTAATAAGGTTACACAAAGAATTTCCATCCGAAAGCTTCAATAGCGTAGGAAACTGCTTGAATATCAGGAATCCTCCGATTTCGCCTTAATCCGGCCCGTTTTCTATTTAATATACAGATCCGTATCAAACTTTCCTTCAGAAAACGGTCTTTTCGTCCTTATTTCAACTAAATAAACACAAATAACGACACCAAAAATACGCTACATTTTCCACTATAATTTTGACCTCGGCATTTCGTGAGTTAGCACAGGTACTGTATCTGCCAAACTAATGGAAGAATGAATATTTTAATGCATATTTTTTGTGAAATGTAATTGAATTTTTAAGGAGGTCAAAAATCAATGGGGAAAATTCATGCTGCCTAAGTTGTCATTTATTATGGAGTGTGTTTTTTGCATGCGGTCAGAAAGTTCTTCGAATGCCGGCATTCCAAGGCAACTGAATTACTGTAGAATCATTCTGATGGTTGGTATATTTTGCAAACCTACTTAAGTAATCTTTTCGAAACAAAAGCGGATTTCAGAATTTCGGCTAACATTTCATGAGTTAGCACACCCTACCAAGACAGCATTAGCCACTAGCTATCGCCTTGGCTAAACAACTTCTGCCGCTACCCTATGACCTGATTTTACTCCCACCGCCAAAGTAGAGGTCCTTTTCTTAATTCTTCGAAAGGCATCTTGTTGTCAACTCGGTCTACGGATTAGACATAATGACCCAATCTGAATGAGATCATTATGGCTAGGATAAAAAGTGCCCCTACGCTGATAATTCAAAGGCTCATCTTGATGATTTTAAAGTAGAAGCATTTCAACAATTCGGTGGACAAAGTCGGTAAGGATGTGTTCTTCAGTTGCCTCACAGGAAGTCGTTGTTTGGTCATTCAACTTCGATCTGTTAAAATATTCAACTAACAGGATGCTCGGCCGAAATCATCCTCGTGACCAGTAAAGGCCAGATCAAGGGACTGTACTAGAGATCATCTTCATGCAACCTCGGCTAATGCCAGAATGTGACAACTTCCACGTAAAGCAGATTCCATAACAACTTCGAGTGTGGGCTATTTGGTTCGGTTGGGGGTAAGTGTGCGGGCATGCAAAATGCAGTCACACGGTAGACGTGTGCGGCGGCTGCAGCACTCCTTCCTCTCCTTCCACCCACCTGTCGAGACAATGTCAAGAAGACCGGAGGTGGAGGCGGGCCCAGTGGCTGAAAAGCTAAACAGCCTGTCTACGCGTGCTACACACAGCCTGCATTGCCAGAATTCCACGCAGACGGCTAGGATCTCATGGACACGAGACTGCCATGGTGTCCGCATTAAGAAGGAACCATTTCCCGCCTGACTCTTATTCCCCCGAAAAAAAACCAGATCACCCCGTCAGTTGGCTGCGCTCCAAGTTAGGTGATCCGATCCGGTCCGGTCCTGAGCCGACGCATCTAAGCAGCACTACATAATTAATCACTACCTGTGACCTAATTGGATATGTTATTTGCCGAGGGGGATGTCGTTTCATTTTTCGCAAACAGTTATGTCAGCAGGAGCGTCAGCTCCAGTTATCTGCTGCTTTTGCAAAGCGTTTTATTAATGCGCGTTTTGCATGACGCGGACCAAGCTTTTCGCTGACCTCCATCGTCTCAGCAAACTCTCGAATGACTTATCTTAACCTTTTTTGCTGGGTTTTAGAATGATTGGTGACCACGGCCGGGAGGCGAGATTTCCCTTCCTCGATGAAGCTGTTGTTTCTTTCCTATCCGCCCTTCCAGTCTCAGAAAAGGTAACCAGAACCGCAAAATATATGACCTCTTTAAATTCATTCCAGTGCATATGGTCTCCTCTAGACTTGTAGGACTTGGACTGTTGATACCCTGAGGCTAGACGAGATCAAAATTCACCAAAGCCTGTGAAAAACCCTTGACTGTGTTTTTTTTAAACATCCAGCAGTACATGAATAGAATTCCGATGATAACTTTTATGGAACATATTTTCTGCCGAATCTTTACGGTGTTGCTTTCTTTGTTCTTCGGATGACCCTATTTAAGTAGCACGTAAATACCACGAAACATGTGCCCAGGCTTTTAGCCAGTATCTGCCTGGAAATATGATTAAACCTGCATATGTACTGGGCAGATATTTTTGTGAGAGAAGGCTCACATTATGGCGTTTTAATTTCCTCAGAAATTCATCGCCAACTTGGAGTAAATCAACTTATCCCTAACTTCATAACTGCGTCCAGGAAACAGGAAACGTGAGCTTACACAAAAGGTTCATTCGAGCTTGTTACATATTGTCGAAATCACGAACATTTCAAGGCCGATAAACAGTCTGCCCCCATGTCTGAAATTTACAGACGTGAGTTTCCACAATTAATTATGGAGCTTTAATCATTGAGCTCTCTGTTCTTTAAATAGAACGAGTTTGTGGAGACACTCAGACTCCATAAAAAGAATATACACTACTGCAGAGTAATTTACGTAGTGGGTTTGACCTGAAACCCAACATGATATCCTGTGTTGCCTAATAAACCGCCTTGCAAGTTTATTTTTGTAATTTCTCCCATCTGAAAAGAGATCTAAAAGTGTTAATTGATTTTGAATGAGTTTTTTATAACTTCTTAGTATGGCGGGTGTCACGATTTTTAATTTCCGCAGAAATTGGCGTGTGAACTTGAGGTAGATTTTTCAGGAGACACATCTTTTCAGGTTTGAGATCAAAAACTCTCTATGAAAATTTGCACCCAAAATCCGTCAGCTTCAGTGGAATCACAGCAAACTGTTTATTTTTGTTGTTTTTAATTTTCTCAGAAGTTAACTGCCAACTTGGAGTAAATCAAATTATTCTAAGGTCTATAGGCACAGACCGAAATTTGATGCATGCGTATTTGTGCCAAAGTCCATCAGACAGAGCGGGATAACCGCGTTATATTCATTAACTCCTGGCAAGTAGTCAGTAGTATATTTTAGCGTCACAAGATACCACACTAGGATACCATAGTAGTATAACTTGATTCACTATAAGTTAGCAGTTAATTGTAGAGGAACTTAAAAAGCAACTATTTCTAAACTGGAATATCTACCAGAAAGTATACGGGGGATGCTGGGGGACCTTGAATGAACTGATCTACCCCAACTTCGTAGATAATTTTTGAGGGCATTAAAAAGCGACAATTTCTAAATTTGAGTGTCTACCAAAAAACGCACGGGGAATGCTGGGGGACCCACTGATGAGCCGAACACCTCGAAGCTGCGCCATGCAGCGCAAAACATCGGCGAAACACGCACGACTGGGCTGCTGGCTGGTACCTGTGCTGTTAGTATGGTATCACCTTACTCTAAAGTATACTACTAACTGCCTGTCGGAAGTTAATGAATGTTACGCGGTTATCCGCTGTGGCTGATGGACTTTGGCCCAAATATTCATGTATAAAATTCTCGGTCTGTGCCTATAGACCTTGAATAAACTGACTTACTTCAAGTTCGTAGATAATTTCTGAGGATATTAAAAAGCGACAATTTCTAAATTTGAGTGTCTACCAGAAAACGCACGGGGAACGCTGGGGGACCCACTGACTGGGCTTTTGGCTAGCACCTGTGCCGTTAGTATGGTATCCTGCAATCCAAGTTATCTAGCCTTCTCTGACGCGTCCACGCCTTTAGGCTTTAGTCCAAACTGATGTACTCCAAGTTAGCCGTTAATTTCTGAGGAAATTACAATGTTACAATTTCCGAACTGGTGTATGTGCCAGACAACGCATGGGAATGATTTGACATGCACTGATGAGCCGAAGCCCTCGGAGCTGTGTCATGCAGCGGCAGAATATCGGCAAACCATGCCTGTCTGGCCTTTTACCTAATACCTGTGTTACTAATATGGTATCGGCAACGGTATAGAGAAGGACCCCACTTAACTGTCAGTACACTGTAGATCGTGCCATACGTGATTTATGGTAGGGGGAGTTTTATGGGTGCAGCAGCACACTAGACAGTAAGCGAACATAATAAAAAAACAGAAATTACTTGGATTTATGCCGAAAATCTTATCTTACGCTATTGTACGACAACAGAAATGAGCGTAGTAAGTAAAAAAATAAACAAAAAGTAAATTTAACAAAATAATGTCTTTTGAGTTAAGATGTGAGACCTAGGAAAGTAATCGTTGTTGGCAGTGTAATTTCTGCAACAGCCTGCAGATGTATGCCAAGATAAGATCCCATATGACACGATCCACAGTTTAATGGGGTCGTTATCTATACCGTTGCCATGGTATCTTGCAACGTTCAAAGCTCACATTGTTGGCGTCTAATCTACAGGGAAAGGCCGCAAATTCCTGTAGAGCAGTGTACACAGAGGAGGCACGTCATCAACTGGATAAGGATGCCATGTATAGAATTTTTGGGGAAAAGTGGAGGCGGACACAAGCATGGGACATGGGAATACGAACTTCTCCCAGTATTACGGGTGGAACGCGCTAGATTCCAGGGGATTCTTATTCCAGCGTCTTACCTTTGACTTTTATCTCGTCGCTTACCCTAACCATAATTCTTACCATCCTTACACTATCCCTAATCCTGACACTAACCCTCGTGGGCCTGGCTCTAACCCGCCCTACACTAATCCCGACCCCAACCCTAACCTTCCCCCTTAGAATTTAGGGCAACATCGCCTGCAATACGGGGAGCCACATTCCTCTGTCCAACGTTTTCCGCTCTCCTCATTTTTGCGATCGAGTCACTTTAGTTCGCAGGTTTTCTAACTCTTCAGAGTTGTCTGCGTTTGTTGTTCACTGGTCTGTCTTGGTCGTGGAATGAAGTACCTCAGAGCCCTTATGTAGCACACACACTCACACTCAGCACTCGTGCAACGATAAGCAGCAAATACTCTTGGACTTGTAGGTCACCCTTTTCGGGTTGTTCATCCTCAGCCAGCCAGTGTTTTATCCCACTTCTTTTGCAGGCCGATTTCAGTCTGCCGCGAGGTCAGGGTGAGAAGCGCCTGCTCCGACTTGCTGCCCTTCAGCTGGGCCTCTCCTGTGCGTCTGCCTTGCCCAAACGGGCAATGCAGTTCGGAACCCGAATTGCCAAAGTAAACCGCAACCACACCGTCCACGGTGCTGACAGGACCTTATTCGTGGATGACCTTGAGTGAACGCGCACGTGCGCACATGTGTACATTTGCATGTCGGAGTAAATTTACGTGAACAATATTTTGTTTGTTTTTCTCTCTCACTTCCTCAACCAATACGGCGGAAAACGTAGATGTGGTTTATGCCTTAGTGCACTGACTCGTGTAACCCAGAGGCTGCACTTCTGTTCCTCTTATCATTAGGCAGACTAACTCGGACTTTCCACGGCCACACAGCAGGCAAAGATGCCGGAGCAAGGTCTACTAGACGGAGTTCTTCCTCATCGTAGTAGATTTGATTCGATTTTGCACAGTCGAAAAAATATAGGAATCGTGTATTGGAAAGTTGGAGGTCGACAGGGCAACTCGGTGTCCGTCCCGAATCTCCGATTGTGATATTTTATGACCATCACGCATATGTCGGAGGCCGTTTCGTGTGCGGTAGGGCGTTGACGTGCGTTTGGGGGTCGTAGACGGGGATTATACTCTCACTCATAAGTGAAGGAGAAGAGTCGAGCGCCGGAACACTTTGTTTATTGTCTTGAGCTTTCAGACTCGTGCAGGAGTCAGAGGTAGTAGCAGCAACAGAACAAGCGACAGTTATAAGGCATGTAGGCCAATCATCGACCGACGGTGCAAGACTGGAGGTGACTGCGCAGGGCTCTGTACGCCGACGCCAGATCGATAAATCGATTGACCGAGTTCTTATCCTAGGCCCAGGCTTCAATCAATTCTCGGCCTGTTTTGTTTCCTGCGTGGGCGACTATTTCGTGGCTGCGAAGTTAAACTTGTGACCCATTTCGTAGGCGTGGTCGGTCACATGTGATAATGCATCGCCTCGTCGCACAGAGAGCTTATTTTCGTGTATGCGTGCATGCGCCCAGTCTGCCCTGTGTAGTTACAGAGACAATTTTGACACGGAATGCGATACAGTACTACAGATTGCTCTTCAGGCTTTAACGGGTCATTGATTTTCATGACCCTATTGCGCATGGTGACTTTGGGGCGATGTTCAACTCCAGCATCTACCTCAGCAGCAAGGCGCTCGGTCGCTGCTGAAACTTCCTTGATGTATGGCAGAGAAGGCCATATCGTCGATCGTGTTGCTGTTCGAGTGCTCAGGTGACGACCGCTCAGGCAGCGCCATATGAATGCCCTCGGATAACCGTTTTACGCAAACTGGTCGCGGAGATAAGGGGCCTCACGTGGTCTGTCCGCCGGTTTGCTGCAATGAGTTTGGATCCGTTTGAAGAGCGTCTTCACACAGCTTCGTTTGTGAGCTGCCGGATGGTTGCTGGGACAACCGAGAAGCTGTGTGGTGTTCGTCGCCGTCCTCGGATGAGAACTCGGTCGATCGATTTATTGATCAGGCGTAGGCATACAGAGCCCTGCGTAGTCACCTCCAGTCTTGCACCGTCGGTCGATGATTGCCCTATAGCTGTCGCTTGTTCTGTTGCTGCTACTACCTCTGACGATGAACTCCTGTACGAGTCTGAAAGCTCAGGACAATAAACAAAGTGTTCCGGTGCCCGACTCTTCTTCGTCACTTATGCATACGCTTGGAACTCGAAATTTCGCCTTCACCCTCATTCATCTCCAGCCCTTTCGGCTGTTCACCCACTATGAGTGTGACATGAGTTAGTGAGATGGGCGTGACGCAAGCCCGTCTTACCATAACGCTGCAAATCCCGGGCTATGTTCCTAACTGTCTTTTTACGACGGATCAGCTATGACTTTATTGACGAAGATAGTCGTTTACATGCCTTTTCCCGATCCATCATGAGTGCATCAGGGAGGTCTTATGTCGACCACAGCAGAGTTCCAACTTGATATTATTTTATTGACCGACGACAACAAGCCACCCGCGCGTCACAGTATCCAGTGTGACTAAAATCACAACAACTGGCTTGGTTTTCAGCTTATGAGCATGTTTTGTGTGCACAGCAATTTGAAGATTATCCCGTTAGGCTGAGAGTAGTCCGTCCAGATAGACGACAATCGGATCAAACGGGCAGCCGTAATCTGTGATGGGTGCCTTCCTCAAAATTTTACTATCATGGTTTCCGGGCAAGATTCTGCAGCGCTTGAACTTGATGGTAATCGAGGTTGCCTTACTGAAGAAATGACCGATAATAATGTTTTGGTCTGTGGTCGCAGTCTGTTCGCTGGTTCATGGCATTCCAGACTGCGGTCTTCTATTCAGGACCCATGCTGTTTGGCGATCATACTCAATGTTTTAGTTTCGCAGTTTAATGACTTCTCCCTCTTGTGGTATGCCGCAAATACTGTCCTCACGTCCATTATTAACTCCTGGTCTGCGAGTCAACGCCTGCAATGCATCTCTCGGCCACAAAAAGAGGAAATGACCGTGGTTAATGAACCCGAAGTGCAGGACAAGTTTTAAAAGTCTGTCTCCCGTATGCCATTGGGAGTATCCGGTTGTCAGGCGCGCCACTACGGATACTGCAACTTGAAGCTGCGCGCGGGCTTCATCAAAAGGCATAAAAGCACCAGTGGACATTTCATATTCATATATGTCTGTTTGCGTTTGTGGCGCGTTTTCTTGTAGTCCTGCTGGACCACCGACTCCGAAGGCTGTAAAACATCCTGTTTTACCCTCAAATGATAGTCATTTTCACAAAAAACGATTTAAACCTGCCGGCCTGTCCGGGTATTCTGAATTTCAGGGAGATTCTTCGCTTCCAACCAGAACTCGTCCGAGATTATTCTATATCTTGAACATGCATTTAAAGTTGTACATAAGTTTCGCATTGAAAGGGATGGATTGTTATCCGCGTCTTATAAAATCTGGATATTAACTAGCGGTTTAATTTGAAAGTCAGTCCTCCGAAGACCAGACTACGTTTGATGTGATTTGACCAAGCACAGAATCGGTGCGCGGGTTGGCAAAGCTGTGAGGGGAATGGATAATGTCTGGGAAAACAGGCTTGCTACGCAGTTGTTTCGGAAGCCATTGTTAATCCTGAAAGAGTAATTTTTTTCGTTTTTTTAGCCTTTTTGACGGAAATGTGACCAATTTATTAGCCACAATCACTTCGGCGAAGGCTGTTTGAACCGCTGTAGGGACTATTCTGTCTAGGGGCTCCCCTGTTAGGTCTCTCGGTGAGCTCGTTATCGAGCCGTATGCAGACAGTTCTCTTAAATTCAAGCTGGTCATTTTAACCCGACCTTGCGTAGGCAGTGCCCCAGGGCATTTTAAGCCGGGGGGAAGTCCATATGTCTGTTGATGAAGTCGCCATCAGAAAACACGCCCGAAGTCTACACCGTTCTGTCCTTGAGCTGTCTTTCCTAAGCTGGTCGTGTGTGGTAAGTTCAAACTATGGCCAGTTTCTCCAACGTGCGTGTCAAAATGAGCGTTTGAATCTAAACTCCGGGGAATCAAGTTATGTGCTTGTAGTCGCCTCTTCATTTTCCGTTCGGTTTCCCTAGTGTAGGTTTAATGCCCATCATTGCAACATATTATGTAGACACCTGATGTGACCTCGCTAGATGGCAGCGTGTCTTCGATTTGCATCGAACGGCGACGAATTGTTGCCGGGGGTCTATGGACTATGCCTATTCTGGCGGGTTGTGATTGTTGCAGTCTCATTTCACCTTAGGAACCTTCAGATGATGCACCTTTGGTCTGCTTTGTTTGGTAAAATAATTTAGGTATGCATTGCTCCTGGAGAGTTTGGTAATCGGGAATCATCAGAATTCCCCCTTTAAACGCTTGCCATTATCATCCAGCCAAACCTCCCCTCGGTGGGGAAAGCGTGGGCGTTGTTTTGAGGTGGAAATACCCGGGGTTGTCTATCCTAGGGTTTCTTAATCGCCGAGTAAATAACCTGGACAGCAAAGCATGAAATTGACAGATGTTGGGAAGTTGTGGCCAGTAACGGGGTCGTGCAGTGGCCTTCTTTCATATTTCAGTGGAAAGGCTTTGGATGTCATGCGCATTGCATGTAGAGAACAAGAGCGGGCTGACGTAGGTCAGCAACCATTACATACAAATAAGATGAGTGACGTTGCACGCCCCGTCCCCGTCTTCGGTAATGCACGCCTTCTCGGCCGTAGTAACTCAGTGATATTAGTTCTAGCTCTAAGACGCACCCGTCGGACGGGGGGTGGGCTCCGAGGGGCCCGTACGAAGGACCAATTTCCAGTTGTCATAGTGGTACGTCATCCGGTGCACTTTTTGTTCAGAAAATGTGTCGTTACAAATGCATGTCAGTGGTGGGAAACTGCCGGTAAAGGCTAGATTCAAACAAAATAAAACGGTAACAATCGGGAGAGGGCACCCAAAAAAATACTGTCGGACAAAGCGGCGATCTTGTCGCAACTGTCCTAAGCTATGCAGCCATTGACTGAGCCGCACACTGGCGACTGCGGTAGCTCCTGACTTCTGGAAGTAATGGTTAAAATTGATAATGCAAGTGCTGGGTCAACGGCGATCGTATTGCAATCGTCCGTAGGTAAGCTGCTAAAGAATAATCCGCATAGGGACTGCTGCGGTCGCTTGTCAGCAGTAGGAGCTTATATTAAGGTTTTTTAACGTAGAGTGGGTCTACGGCGATTGTTTTGCAACTGTCCAAAGGGTATGGTGCCATAGATTGAGCCGCATAACCACAACTGCGGTCATTCCTCACCTCAGGAAGAAATGGTCATAATGGATAAGCCAAAAGGCTGGTCCACAGCGATCGTATCGCAAGTGTATGAACGTATGCTACCATAGATTAAGCCGCATATCGAGTACTGAGCTCGCTTTGCAGCTGTGAAAGCTAATGTCAAGCTTGGTAAATAGAGGATTTGTCTAAAGCGATCAGTACCCAACTTTCCTAGGCTATGCTGTTCTAAAGTAAGTCGCAAACGGACTAATGTCGTCGCTCGTGACCTAAACAAGCATATGTGAAGGATGGCAAACCAATGGTCGGTCTACAGCGATCGTTTCTCAAGGGTATGCAAGGGTAGATTTAGCCGCAACCCCATTATTGCTGTCACTCTTCGGCCGTTTAAGCCTAGGT